TAATGCTAATTGCTAAATCCTTTCCAACTACTTTTTTTTAATTCCATGGTCCAAAAATAACTGCAACATTTCCCTTGTTTAGAAGTTTCAATTTAGGATTGTCTCCTTACCAAAGAGTAACCGTTACAACATATTAATAACATTGATTTTGATCCATAAGGTTCATCTACTTTGTCATATTGAAGGATAGTTCAAATATTTGAACAAGTCAACAATTTCAATAAACTATAGGCAACATGTATAGTTAAATATAACCCATGATGGAGGGAGTACGGTTTAAACCAAAAAAAAATATGTGTCACTGCTTTATCTTGCAAAAGATTGAAATTTCATTGAATTAACCAAAAGTGCATTTTACAACTTGATCAACCCCATGAAAGTAGAACGGTGTTGGAATTATTTTTTAACAGTGGAATGTTGACATTTATTTGTATTAGCTTAGATAATTTACTCAAAATCCAAATTACTTTGTTGCCAAATAGTAATAAATTAGAACATGTTGTAGCATTGTTTTGGTTCTAGATAATAGTCGTTGCACTTATTTTGGGATAAAGAGATTATTAATTATTTTTAAACTGTTAACACCAAAAGAGTTCTAATTTTACAAGACTGTTATTTGGATACTACATTGTAGTTACAACTTATTCCTCAAATATAAGCTCATTTGACTTTCAAAGGTAAAATCTGGACACTTTGCTTTTAGCAACAGATAGATTAGTATATTCAGGTGCAGAGATTCTTCAGGAAACCAAATCAAAGTACTTCCTGATGCAGTAGGCTCGGGTTGGGCTCATGGGCCTGTTGTGGGCTTTGGGCCGGTGCAGCAGCAGGTGGGGGACTTGGGTTAGGCCCAAGCATGGAAGCTGGAATCGTTTATTTTGGTTATTGATTACCATATTTTGGGTTTGATTGCTATCTTTTATTTTTGGGAATTTGTTTTTTGTGTGGATTTGTTTCGTTCCCTAAGTTGTAGGCTTTATTCGTGGCTTTGGGATTAGTATTTAATTGGGGGGTTTCTTTGTATTGAGGGAGTTTTTTTTTGGAGTTCAAATAATTATTATTAATTTGATTCCAGTTTCGTTCGTGGTTGTTCTTGATTTAATCAATTGAGTTGCAAGCAGATTTGCATCAATTGGTATTAGAGCCCCAGGCGAGATTGTAGATGGGTGATCGTGGAGGGCGCTTTTATCGACATCCCGAGGCAATGAGGATTATAGGCGAGACCCACGAGATATCGAGGAGATTGCTCGACTACAACAACGGATCCGGGATCTCGAGCTGCTGCAGCAGGAAGGCGTCTCCAATGAGGAAACCGATACCGATTCCTTCATCCAGGATGGAGGAGTGGGTCGAGAGAACCCGTTTGATTATGATGATCGTTGGAACCCGTTTGCACGACAGGAAGACTGGTCAGATCTGTTGCGTAACTTGGGGGTCAAGGTAGACATTCCCGAATTTGATGGCAAGGCTCAACCCGATGCATTCATTGACTGGCTTCATACGGTTGAGCGTATTTTTGAGCTCCGAGACATTCCGGACAGGTATAAAGTTAAATTAGTCGCTATTAAACTTCGCAAATACGCTTCTTTGTGGTGGGAGCATGTGAAGAAAAAAAGGGCTCAAGAAGGGTGCTCGAAAATTATAACTTGGGATAAAATGCGTAAGTTATTACGTTAAAAGTTCTTGCCTGTTAATTACGGTCAGGAGGCTTATCTTGAATATCATAATCTTTCCCAACGGTCGTCCACCGTTGAGRATTTAATCGTGGAATTTGACAGGTTAAGAATGAGGTGTGGGGCAGAAGAGGAAGAAGAGCAGRTCATTGCACGTTTTTTCGGGGCATTACGACCCGAGATATCCGACATTGTACAGCAACAGCCCTATTGGACATTCAATGATGTGTGTCAACTAGCTTTGAAGGTAGAAAGGCAACTAAAAACAAAAGGCAAGTCGACAGTAACTAAATCTAACCCACCTAAACCTGAGTTCTCATGCGGGTCATTGGGAACTTCAATAGGTAGCCTATTTACACCAAGCAAAAACGAGACCCCAGCAAAATCCGAGGCTTTGTCAAACACCCTTTCGGGAACATCATGCGCACCGAGGTGTTTCAAGTGTGGGGGATTGGGTCACTTCATGAGGGAATGCCCGAACACTCAATTAGTTACCCTCATGGAAGACTCACTGCCCGTTTATGATACGGAAGATGAACCCCTGGAAGAAGACCAATCTGAAATTATTTATCCAGAAAAAGGTGAAGCTCTTATTGATCAACGAGTTCTGAGTGCTACTCCTATCCTATCCGAAGATGACACCTTGTGGCTTCGTCATAACATCTTTCGCACAAAATGCACCTCCAAAGGCAAGGTTTGTACCGTTATTATTGGCGGGGGTAGCTGTGAGAATATGGTATCCACAACGATGGTCGAGAAATTGGGACTAAAAACCGAACCACATCCAGAGCCGTATGAGTTAACTTGGTTAAAGAAGGGTAACGTGGTAAAAGTTAATCAACGTTGCCTGGTTCAGTATTGGCACACGTTATTCGGACAAGATTTGCTGCGAGGTGATTCCGATGGATGCTTGTCACATCCTATTGGGTAGGCCGTGGCAATATGATAGACAAGTCTGCCATGATGGGTTTCATAACACGTATTCGTTTAAGAAGGATGGGGTGAATGTAACGTTAGCCCCCCTTGATACACGGAAAACCGGAAGTGAAGCACTCATACTTAACAAATCAGCCTTCCTGGACTTTACACGGTCTACAAAACCGGCCTGATGTTCGCCATGGTTATCACCAAAGCTAACCCCAGTTCAGCCGATATTCCCCATGAGATCCGACCACTTGTGACTGAGTTCCGAGACGTTTTCCCCACTGAGATTCCAGCAGGGTTGCCTCTTATGCGGGCCATTCAACATTGCATCGATTTTATTCCGGGAGCGGTCATTCCTAATAAACCCGCCTACCGGATGAACCCCAAGGAGCATGACGAATTACACAAACAGGTAACGGAGCTCCTTGACAAGGGGCTAATTCGAGAAAGTATGAGTCCATGTGTCGTTATCGTTGTAAACGAACCGAACGAACACGAACAGAGGCTTGTTCATGTTTGTTCGTTTAACTTAACCGCACAAACGAACGAACACAAACAGTAAACGAACGAAAATCTTTGTATTCGTGTTCGTTCGTTTAGAAATCAGATGTGTTCGTGTTCGTTTATGTTCGTTCGTTAACATGTTAAACGAACGTAAACGAACGAATATAAACGAACAGGCTAAACGAACATAAATAAATATTATTTGAATTCAAAGTAAATAAATAAAAGATTATATATTTAAATTTAATATATAAACGAACATAAACGAACGAATATAAACAGACATTAAATGAACAAACGTTCACGAACATAAATGAACGAACGAGACACTTGTTCATGTTCGTTCGTTTAACTAAATGAACAAAAAAAATTGTTCATGTTCGTTCATTTATTAAATAAATGAACATAAACGAATTTCCCGCCAAACGGTTCACGAACGTTTCGCTGAACGTTCGGTTCGTATACAGTCCTATGTGCCGTCCCTGCATTACTAGTTTCGAAATCTAATAGCGTGTATCGTATGTGTATTGATAGTAGGGCGGTAAACAAAATCACGATCAAATATAGGTTTCCCATCCCACGCTTCGAAGACCTGCTCGACCAACTCCATGGGGCCAAAATTCTCTAAAATTGACCTTCGAAGCGGCTATCACCAGATTCGCATGCGACCGGGAGATGAATGGAAAACCKCTTTTAAAACTYGGGATGGTTTATTTGAATGGATGGTCATGCCRTTTGGACTTTCCAACGCTCCTAGCACGTTTATGCGCTTAATGAACCAMGTTTTCAAGCCGTTGATCGGGYAATKTGTCGTCGTTTATTTCGATGATATACTAATATTTAGTCTTSATCTCCCACAACATCTTTATCATCTTCGACAGGTTTTTTCTATCATGCGGTGATAAGCATGGTTTATTACATGCTTAAAGTACCTATTTCTTATGTTTAATAGGTA